GCTGCACCCAGCTGAAAAATATGTGACGAGGCAACTGTACACAGCTCGCTTAATACGAGCCCAGCTGGTGTCCAACAAACCCCATACTGCTCCCAACTACGCGCCCAACGCAAGAAGCCAGTGCAAAATTGTATACATCAAGCGTGTATAGCCGGAAAAATACACTTAAGAATTTGCGCGCCATGTCAAAGTCCGAAGTTGAACGATTTTGGGGGCAAAGTTAGAGCGTTAGATTTTCATGTCATCCCTTCCAATCAATACAAACAAAAACAACAGCAACATCACTATAAGCAAACAAAGTAGTGATGTATTGACCGCTGAGCACTTAAACTGCCGTTCCGTCTTCGCGTAGACAGAGAGGTTTACAATAACATGTAGCTGGTGCTTCTGTCAAGAAGTGAAATCATAAGGCGATGACACAATGTGCTCCTGAAGATAATTTTCAATCAGGATGCACTTGATGCGAGACCAGCTTGGGCTGGTGTTATTTTAACTCCTCCAACGCAGTCGACAGAGTAACCGAACGCTCGTTTTGAACAACCGCGTGCTGCACAAACTGGCCTTTACCAAAAACATCGTGATCCATAATAGATAAAACGATGTACTTTGTTGCATTTGCTCCATGTGCTGCGTCGATAATTAGAACCTCCAGAAACCGCTCAAAGAACTCCCTCATGTGTGCAGTCTGCATAGTAATACATGTCGCAATAGTCTACGAATAAAACTATGTTAGAAAACTTCGAGATAAACAAGAAAGACAAAAAAACTAGACCTTATTGTGAACAGAGTCCACGAAGATGCGACCGACCTTTCTTGGCCCCTGCGAAAATTCATGCATCCACTGTTTGAGTCGTTTGGCACTAGTTGAGGCAGCATGGTCCTGGCACTTGAACTTCCTCACGAGGTTATGAACATCTTGGGTCGTCGGAGCGCAGCTGGACTTTCGTAAATGTACAGCAATATACGCTTCTTCTTGGCGCCAGCCTTCAGCAGCTCACTCACAGTCCCAACGACCTCTGGTTCCAGAACTGTTCGATTATGTGGATACTGTGGTGTAGTGATATTCTAATAATTGCCGGTAGAAAGAGACCTGATCGCCTTCAAGCCGTTCAAGCTATGAAGACTCTGCCACATGATGTACGGCGACTTCAAGGTGCAAGAGACTCGACGGCGTCACTACCGAACTTTCAACGGATATTGGATACGGTCCATATATCACTGAATCCAGGCTGTCCTTATTATTAGTAATAGACTGGCCGGATTCGCACTCAGTGGCCAAGAACTGACCATCTACGGTACGAGCCCTCGGTGGCGGCTGGGATGAGTTCGCGGAGGACTCAGCGACCCTTTGAAGGCACGTTCACCGTCTGGGACAGGGCGCGAGCCGCTAAAGATACTCATGCGACGGTGTAGATGACGCTTGGCGTGCAAGAAGATCCATAACGGATCATTCTTCACTTGATATTTGTATACTTGATTAGGACTTCTTATTAGGAATAGACCCGAAAGGGTAAACGTAAATACAGAACAGAGTTTCCACTCAAGCACACAGAGCGACGTCCGGCTTCAAGATAAGCGTCTGGTCAAGCTTGTTTGAGTGTGTTATGCCTGTCGGTGAGCTCGAAGCTCTGTAGCGAGGGTTCATCAGGCAAGGCCAAGAGACTGTGTATTCTGGCCGATTACTATCGGGAGGTTTTTACGTGACGGCTAAATGTTGCCTATTTGCACGACTGGGATTGCTTAAATTGCACCCCTTTTATTCTTCCAACCGAGTGTCGAACACTCGGTGCCCTCGTAAAAGGCTTACCCGTGCCTGGTACCCTTCCGCTGTTGGGACCACGAGGATCCATAGCACCTACTAGCTTTGCTCGTGCTAGTAGCGTGTTCTTATTTTTTCTGGTCGGCCTATAGAAGTAGTTTACAAGGTCCAGTTTGTCCCCGTGCAAGGGCAGAACGGGGGTCTTCAGGTCCGCCCGAGCGATCGTTTACTATCCTAGTAAACGTATTGTTGTGGGAACGTCCCAATCGGAGAAACACCGAAGTTGCAGCGCTTCCGCGCTTCAAAGACATGCATCGACGCCACGTTCAGTAAGCACCAGGAGCACACCGAACAGGGGTTCGAGAAGTTTATCCAGATTACTAAAAAGCCGATAATCGGGACAGTAGCTCATTAATAAAATGCGGTGTAGTACTGTAGTAATATTGTCCGTTGCACTAAAATTGTCCGCCTAATCGTCGATCTTAAACTGAGCAAATCATGCGACCAGGGTAATCCTATTCTGGGACGAGGTCTTTCTTATTCTGATGGAGAACTCCTTCTCACGGGACAGGGCCTTGCGTTCTCCACACAAGAGTGTTCATTATCCGGTTAACGGCCTCCTGAGCAGTGCTTCCGCACACGCTACGACGGAGGTCAATCGAGGGGGAATGCAGCGCATGCTCATTCTCAGAGGGACTGTCGCCCGTATGGGTTAATTCTTCGCCGGATACTCAATCAAAAAGTACTCTATCTTTATGACCTGCTCGCGTTCTGACCTCCCTTCAGTGTGGTTGTTTTGTGCTTAATGTAGATTACTGTTCATCTCCAATAATACATGCAGCTTGACTCATACCCGATTGCCCATTGATTGTTTTCCTGTGGAGGTGTCGCTTCCTAATTATTTGCGCTGCAAGCTGACGGTGAAAGATGGTAGACCACTGGAGCGATGTCGCGATAAAGGCGTTGCTTTGTCGTTCGACATCGATGTATCTGAAGGGTACGGTGTGCTAAGGGCGCAAGTCAAGTCGGCTTTTGCTACAAAGGAGCGTCTGTACTGGTGCGACGATCTCGACGTGTACATCAGACTCGCCAAGAATGCACCACAAAAGGCCTTCGTAAAACTAGATCAATATGGCTTCGAGCCATCAGTGCAAGCAGCGTGGCGCAACACTCGGCTGCGCCGTGGTGGGCAGATTGATTTTGTGCTCGACCTCTTTGTATATGTAGCGAAGTCTAAGAAGGCGCCAGATACTACGCTTCATCGTGCGACCGAAAACCGTGTGCAACAAGGGATTCCACGCGTACAAACAGCTCTACTAACGGCTAACGTACCATTCGGTCCTGCTACCCTACGCAACGCTGCTACGGCTCAAGCCAGATTACCGGACGGTGAAGAAGTCCACGTGCCAGACAGCACAACATTCCACCAGCTTCAGCACATCGACAGCCTGGAGCAACAAGCGGTAAGTTCGTCAAGAGAGCCTGATGAGTTCGCTCCCATACAAGTCAAGATCAACAACCCTACGGTGACACTGCGCATGCGAGTTCAAGACATCTGCCAGGCGCTCGGCTTGCCGATGTATCCATTGTTCCCTCCATTTCGACAAGCGCCGGAAATTGTGCAGCCACCTGCACACGACGTGGAAGATGTTGATCATCTACAAAGCGATGATAAAAATGAACGAGACATTGTAGAACTTGCTGTATAGGATTACATTGATTCGTTACTGAGCAATATTCAATGCAGCTTCTAGATAACCGCAGTCGGTATAATCCGTAGCCAACTTGGTCATTTGCCTTGGTGCATTCGCGCAGCGCAGCACTTAGAGCTTGAACCGGTGCTTCCTTGAATGCAAGACTTGCGTGCTTAATGATCCAGCGTTTTAAAAGCAAAAAACCCACTTCAATTGGGTTCAAATCTGGGGAGTATGGTGGTAAAAAGAATAGCAGAGCTCCGGTCGAGTGCACCAAGTCTTGTAGCTCCGCGTACATATGGATCTTGGCATTATCAAGTATCATAATGGACCGTGGAAGCGGCCACGGATTCAGGTAAGGTGCAATTTTCGCTGCAAATACCAGATGAAACTCCTTCCTAGTAAATGTGTCAAATGTGTGACCCCACGAGAAAAACCCGCTCACGTCCATTGCTGCCAGCACGGAGACCCGCTGGCCACGTGACGAAGGCAAACTGACAGCGGCTGGCGTGCCTCGTTTTGACCACGCGTGCTTTCTTAAAACACTCCTGTACACCATTAAAAAAAATGTAAAAAAAACCAATAGATATCAAACAACGAGTCGTTCTGCTATCGCACCTTCCGTCTTTGGATGTCTTGTCCACAAACACGAGCTGCACGGGGCAACTGTAAAACGGCAGCAGCCGACCGGCATACTCACGGCGCTCTCGCGGAGCTGACTCTCTTGCACGCTTAGTTAATCTTTTCCTTGTCAGATTAAGGTCGAGCCGTAACGCGCGGCATATCGAAGCAGTTGACGTGTTCGTCACGTGCTCGAATTTGCGGCAAAGCTTGTCTTGAAGCTCTTCAATGTAGAAGCACGGATGTATTTCTACATATTTCTCCACGAATTGTATGACCTCACGTGGCCACTTGCTGCTGCGCTCTCGTGACGGCGCCTTCCGACACGGTGATCCTGTCTTTTCGAACTTCGTAATCCAGCGACGGACACTACGTTCGTTGCTTCCGAATATTGTGCCAGCCATAGCGGCATCCATGCTGTAGACATAGACCAGGACTACCGCTCTCCACCGCAAGTCGCCAGAGTAGGTCATCGTGTACGCTGCTAATCTCCGAATGGCCAGGAAATTCGTGGCAAACTGAGGATGCGAGTTTAATAGCGTTGTTTGAGTGGCAAACTGAGGATGCGAGTTTAATAGCGTTGTTTGAGCTAAAGAAGGAGAGTTCTGATTGGACGACCAAGAATGGTGTTGCCTTAATCGTTTATAGACTTCAGCTACCGGTAGCCTGAGGTCTCACACCTACACCTACTGCATGCTGTCTCAGTGTAAGAGTCCGATTTGGACAATCCGGCTGAAAGGCACAATAATAATAAATGATTCGATGTACTTTGAAGTAGCCATTTTTATTCAGCTCGTGTTTCGAATACCGGCTTTTGCCAGTTGCACCACAAAGCAGATTCGCAGGCTCTTCGGTGTGGTACCATTAATTTGGAGCATGAACTTGAATCGATGCATACCACGTCACATATTCGAATCAGCTCCATCATGCTGCCCTCAATGCATTGCCTCGACGGTGGCCGCAGCGCTGCCTCCAACACGCCTCTAGACCTGAGTGCATCGCTCTCTCGCAAGGAAAAACGCGGCATGAAACGCGGTGAGAAGCGCTCGAAAAGGTCACAAACCCATTCCAAAGCAACATCCGACAATGTTCACGTTGATTCCGAGTCTTCCAAAGTCGATTCCAATGCCCCCAAAGCTCCCATTATTATCGCCACCTCGCAGCAAAGTCGATTCCACACTGTCACATTTGACGAGTTCGGCAAGAACGTTCTACTCAACCAGTTCACACTCGCCATTGGAACGCCGTCATCCGATGAGACTGCAGATCCTGTTGGCGTCGTAGAGCTGCTAAGAGATACCCAATTGAAGCTCAATTACGGCTCTCGTTACGGTCTTGTGGGTCCCAATGGAATCGGCAAGTCCACACTACTCACAGCTTTAGCAGACGGACTGGTCGAAGGGCTTCCGACGTCACTCAAGATCCTGTACGTGAACCAGTTGGACACGTCGTCGTTAACTCCCGAATCGGCACAGCAGTCGGTACTGCACACGGTGTTGAGTGCAGACACGAGAGTTAGTGAGCTGCAATATAAAATTGATATATTCCAAAAGGTGTTGGTGGGGCCTTTAGAATCGGAAGACAGGGAACCGAAGTTCGCTACGTATAAGGCTGAGTTGCTCCATACGTTGCTAACTATCCAAGTAATGGAGGCAGAGCAAGCTCAAGACGCTGCTAGTAAGATCGCCATTAAGAGAAGTGGCATGCTCGGTAAGGATGCCAGACTAAGGCTGCTGGAAGCCGAGCACAAGACAGCAGATTTACGTCAGCGACTGCAATTCACGCTGTCGGATATGGAGCACGAGAGCGTAATCGCAGCCAATGAGACGGAGATCTTGCATGAAATCCACCAGAAAATGGAACAATTCCAACAAGAATTAAAGATACTGGATGAAGCTTCCATGGAAGCACGTGCACGCCGAATACTGGCGAGTATGGGTGTCGGTCCAGCCAAGCAGGATGCTCCACTGGCGTCGCGAAGTGGTGGCTGGCAAGTACGTATTCTTCTGGCTCGAGTGTTGTTCATGGAGCCAGATTTTTTACTACTGGATGAGCCGACGAATCACTTGGACATGCCTTCGATTTTGTGGCTAAAAAACTATCTCCTTACTCTCGACGACGTGCTTGGAACGCCAGTCACACTTGTAGTAGTATCCCACGACCGGTTCTTCTTAAATGCCGTGACGGAAGAGACTATCTTCTTCCGTGGATACGACAAGACACTCGCTTACTATGAAGGAACTTACGACTCCTTCGAGCTGGCTATGATGAGGAAAAGACAGTTCAATGCTCGTCTACAAACCAAACTGGACAAGAAGACGGACCAGATGAACGCTATGGTCTCTAAGATCTCCCAACAAGCTACACGATCGAAAGATGACAAGAAGATGCAAGTCGCAGCTTCAAAAAAGAAGAAAATGGATCGGATTGGTAGCGAACGTAGTGCCAAAGGAACACGATTCAAACTTAACCGGGACCGCGCGGGGTATTTCCTTACTAACCGCGATCAAGCAGAGGAGCAAGCTAAGTACGACGAGACCGAAGGTGGCAACAGTGGAAGCTCCGCATGGCGTATACTATCCAGTAGTCCTCCTCAGATCCGGAATCTGACGAAACTGGACAACACGACGATGGTTTCGCTTGAAAATGTATCGTTTCGATACGATACATTCAACGAAAAGCCCAAATTTCCACTTGTGTTTGAGAAACTCAATCTTACCATAAACTACGGTGACAAAGTAGTTCTGGTGGGACGCAATGGTGCGGGTAAAACGACATTTATGAAGCTGCTGAGCAAAGGATTAGAGCCGGAAAGTGGCAAAGTGGAGTATTTCCACGGAGCACGGATTGCGTCATTGATGCAACATAACGTGGAAGACCTCAAACGTCAGGAATGGTCTCGAGGTCTCACTCCATTGGAGTTATTGCGCACACGACTGCAAACGGATGACGCGGTATCAGACGTGGGAGCTGCTGGAGTCGCAAGTGATGGTAAAATACGTGGGTATTTAAGTAGTTTCGGTATCACAGGTGGGATTGCCGTCGCCGTCCCGCTCCACGCTCTATCAGGCGGACAATTGGTACGCGTGGGGTTGGCCTGGGCTACGTTCCCATACCCGCCGCACGTGTTGCTGCTCGATGAGCCCACGAACCATTTGGACATGAACACGATTCAACTGTTAGGTGAGGCTCTGCGCAAGTATCAAGGAGCGGTGGCGCTCATTTCGCACGACTTGCATTTCCTCGACATTCTCACAAACGGGAAACAACGCGGAGAGGAAGATGGAGATGAAGACGAAGATGAAGCATGTGGTCGTGTGCGGGTCTTTGAAGTGAGCAAGAAGAAGGGCGTAGTGTCTCTCCTGCCACTTGAGCGAGTGGAAACGTATCAAGAGAAAGAGGAGAGTCGCATGGCTTCCCTAGGCCGCATATAACGTTGCCGGTAACTTCAAGTGTTGCATACTGAGTTTAAGCCTTTTTGTTTTGAAAATATCCAATTTTTGACCATGGTTTACCTCCCACTGGCAAGCGCCATGACAAACGTCCGCCACAAACCATGAAATCTCGATTACAAAGAAGTTGCCGCTCGGTGGCTGAATCCACGGGTACGGGGTTTGTGTACGGCACCATGTTTGGGTCCGTTCTGGCTGTGGTGGAAGGAGTGCGAGCGTCTCCGAAACATCAAAGGTTTGTTGCTGCACTGCATCACGCCAAGTTCTTCGTACCAGAAACGGCAGGTCGAATTGCAATGGTCACATGTTTGTTCTACATTTGGGGTCGAGTAGCTTCACGACAAGCGAGGAATACCTCGATGGCTGTACCTTTCGCGGAGCGACGATAAAGAGTCGACATGGGCCTAAAGCGGCTTTGTATAGCGCGTTTGCGTTTGGAAGTTTCGCGGCGGTGGTGGTCGCGTTTAATGTGATGAGGGCGAACATGATGCAGCTGGAAGAGATGGACTAAAAAATATGTTATACAAAACTGAATCAAAGTGATAAATAAATCCCATAAAGCTTATGACGTTAAGCCAGACTCAATCAGAAACCGTTCATAAGATCTCCTGTTAGTGTTATTAGGCCTGGAAAACAAGTTTCGAACTATTTATGACGATCGTCTTCGATATCTTAGGAGCGATCGTGCTCGTTCTGCTCCGATTCCCAACATTCATAAACTTGCAAGCTCTCCGAGTAGTTGTGATGTCGAACGAAGAAATTGATTCATGGACGTGCCCAGGGTGCACCCTGAAGAACGAGCTCACTGTCGAAGCGTGCGCCGCTTGTGGAGCTACCAGTCCTCTGGTTCTTCAGAGCTACGCCATTGAAGAACAAGGTTGGCCAGCAGGAGAAGATGCTGCTGTAGACGGAGCTCAACGTGCCAGTCTCGTATCTCACGGCTCGGATAATGCCACACCGCGCAATGGTGGAAACGAAGTAGACCCGTGGACACAAGCTGAATGCGAGTGGGCCCAAATTGAGTCACGACAAGACGCGCCGTCGAAAAAATAATAATCCAAAAGCATTAAGCCACGAGTATGTTTTCAATTTTATAGATTTTGATGACTTAAATGTTAATAATTGGTGGAAACGCAAGAGCGTAAACTTTGATGAACTTTGTTTTTCAGAGAAAAATGTTAGAATAAGGATTATAAAATTTAAAAAAACACTTCTTATTTAAATAATATCAAGACCTGAAAAGTAGATTGGTATAAAGTTCATTGAAGCAAATCCAATGAAAACATCTTCATAATTTAAATAATGAAAAAAACGAAAGTTTGATGAGACCAAAAAATGGTGTCACCGAACAATTCACCGTGATTTACAGTTAGTACCGGACTTTAAATTTGGGTTTGGTAGGCACCCACCGTCGGCTATTGCGTCTGCGCTACTTGTACAAAGCAACTGGGCTACAGCGCATGTTAAAAGAGTTTGAGGTCACTGCAAAGTTCCGGCCTAGCAAAATCACTAGGCTTCTTGCAATTTGTTTTACACTGCTCTTGGTAACTGTGATTTGAGCGTTTAACCAATTAATACTTTTCTTACCAAGCTCTGCAGTACTGAAACTACCATCATTAGTATGCCCTCATGGACAAGTAGCACGTAATGGATATAGAAGTACATGGCAAAAGCTTTGTCCTCATGGTCATAGAGCTGACAGTGCTGCCACGAGAGTGCAACGCCTGTGTTCAAGGCTTTTGGCCGACTCACGTTAGTTTTTAAGAGCAATAATCATTCCTGACACTTCTGTAGCAAGTTGGCGCCAAAAACTCCAGGTACCATAGTTTGCACCTTCCTGTGTACTTCGAAGTAGCATACCGTATTTGAGATCTCCTACTTCAGATCCAATATTTTTGAAGTTGTATTGTTGCAAAATACACAAGATCTGTACACGTACCGACGCATCTCTATCACGTTTTATTTAAACAAAACAATTTAGTTATCAAGTTCTTCTTCGGGAACTGCGAAGTTTTCTATGTCGTGACGCGTATCCACAGCATGGCGCACTACGGGCACTTCTTCCAGAATTATCCACAGTACAATTTGTTCCTCTATTTCGCGAGGAAGCGTAGCTGACGCACCCAGAGAGCGGTCATTGCAGTGCGACCCGCAGCCGATTTCGCATTTCTCCACTATGAGCTCGCGCTGGTCAAGTCAATTTGGGTTGGGAGAAGTTCGAGATAAAAATACTTGACGGTCAAGTGCATTTTGTCCTTCGACACTACGGCATCGTAAAACTCCACAACCGAAAGCTTGTAGGCGTATGAAATGGCAACGCGCTTGAACTTCTTGGGAGGCTTGCCAGTGCCAGAAATACGGCTTCTCCCTTTCCGTTGGCCGAGCGTGAGGGGAGTGCGCGCCATTGCGAATTTCTTGCAATGAGCTGGTGGATAGTTACAGTTTAGCATGTTTTTTGTACTCTGAATTAGGAGATCTAGACTTGTGCGCTGTTCCATTCTCGATATGTGATTGGTTGGAGGGCAGTCTGAATTAGGAGATCACTCTGAAGTAGGAGATCTCAAAGAGGTTGTACCCCGGTTCGGAGCGGCCCTATTAAAAACAACTAGCATTTAAAAAAAAAACTTTATCAATAATAAAATGCCAGTGCCACTTTTTCAAATGTATTATAGTATTAACATGTAGTATCTAGAGATGAAACTTACGCTACAATAAAAGGAGCTCTGTTTTTCAAAATGTAAATCCAGTTAACGCTTTATACGAATCGTATGTACAGATTTCCAATGCCATGAACACTACACCAAATACTGTTCGTCCTCCTCTTCCTGCTCAAAACACCCCGTAGTAGCCACATTCGGGTACCAGGCACCAGCCGAACGTTGGATACGCGTGAGCTGTGTAGGCAGAGCAGTGTACTCGTCGATATCTCCAGTTTCATCAGTGAAATTAACCCACGACGTCCAGCGTAATTGGTCCACTCGAAGCCATCCATGAAGCTCCAGACCGTGTAACCGATGATTGGGATATCCTCCTCGTAAATAGCCTTGTGCACTTGCTCCAAATGAGTGCGAAGATACCAGTCCTGGTCGGGGTGTCAATAGTTTCATTGCCACACCATCCGTTCTCAGTCAGAAGAATGTCCGCATTTGTATCATGCTCGTGCAAGAAGCGGATGGCCTGGATGTACCCCGGAGGGTACCCAGAATCAGCTGAACAACTGTCAGCATCCATAATACTTCCATAGGCATGACGAGCGCCGTCAGGGTTACGCGAGTCATCAACTCCGAGGTCCGTTGCCCATCCAAGTGTCAAACTCGAACAATTTGTCTCGGATCTTTCTAAATCACAGCCCGTCGTAGCATACGAGGCGTAGTAATTAAGCATGAGAAGGTCATACGAGCCTTTAAGTTGGGCACTCTGCTCTTCCGTAAAATTCGGTAGACGATCACCAATGCGCTCGCGCATAACTTCGGGGTAGTCTCCCGTGGCTAAAGGACTCAAAAACCAGCCCAAGTGGAATTAATTCTTACGCTCAGCCGCAGCCACGTCTTTAGTGAATGAGCGATTCAAAGGTATGCCCCAGTCGGAGTTGATGACGATGCTGATGCGTGCAGTGCTCTTGACGGTCCCTGCAGCACGTAGTTCATGGAACTACTCTACCGCTGCAGCGTGTGCGAGCAGCACATTATGAGCCACCTCGTACGCGTTGGTGCTTGAGTTGCCGAGTTTCGGTGGGCCGTATCCAAGTGCGAAGCCCGTAAGGATGAACAATCGTCGGCAACGTTCGCACAGGGCACCCTATTCACAGTGTCACGGCAGAAGTTGTCTCAGATACTTGGTTCCTTGTTGGTGGTGTTCCAGCCGCCCTCAGCTTGATACGCTGACGAAGCAGTACCGAACAGGAAGCTCGATGGGAAACATAGCGCACTGCTGTTAGAGGCACGAGTTATTGACGAAAAAGCGACGACCAATGTGACCAAGAAGCACAATAACGTCATGGTTATGAAATGAGTGCACGGTTAATAGAAAATTAGTGAATGAGTCGCTAATGATGATCCACGAAGCACCGATCTTGCAAATCTCAAAGAGTACAAGTTGAAGTTTTATGCTGCAACCACAAACAGAAAGCATAAGCGGTAGAACTCATGCCTTGATTCTTTTCGGTATTGTGCATGTACAGGCAATAACAGCCAAAAAGTTATCAGATAACTTTTCTTGCCCTCGAAACTACCAGAATGATTACGGTCTACTTCACCCTGTCTATTGCGTCTGCTTAAGCGTCGGGGATCTACTTCTACGCTGACTCTACGCGCGCTTCACTTTCGGGCCCAACGACTTACTGTACATGCGAATGACCGACGCCAACATCGTGAAGGCTGACATGCCCAGAATGGCTGCAGTCTTCCACCACGCATGGTCATTCGCGCGCTTCACGTCCTCAGCTGTACAGCCCTCAGGTAGAAGCACTCCATCTACCGGGATGTTGTCTCCAGTACCCACTGCACTACCCTTGCATCTCTCGATCACTTCCGGTGAATTCAACGCCAAGAAGGCGTACAGTAACAAGCAGATCGAGGCGAGAACGAAGGCGACGCGCTTGCCAAATTGTGCCGAGTCCAACTGGCGATCCAAACTGGTACCAGAATGGCGGTACACCACGACTCGCAGCTTCGCCACCGTAAAGTCTGCATGGGTACCCTCGTCCGCGATTGGTAGACAGCACAGTTCACGCGAAGACGACACCACCACTTGCCACGTCGGGCCGTACGCAAACGTCAACGAGTGCTGCAGATGAGCTCTCTTAGTTGATAATTACGTCTCTCAAAATTATTTTTTACCAGCCAATGCTCATCGTACCTTTAAAGCTTGAGCGATTTTGGTCTCGTTGTCCTCTACACCATCGTAGAAGTTGCAGAGTTGCTTGGTCTTGTCAGTCACGGCCTCCTTCATGTCGTCTTCCATGTCGGTCTCAAACACGACGATCTTTCTTTTGATGTTGAGCGTCTCAGTATCTGTAGTTAGTGCTTCGTGCTCGTGTTTGGGGCGGGGAGTTGTGGACGGTGTCGTGCGGTACAACAGCACTTTTATCTTGCTGGTCTTGCTGAACAGCAGCACACATGCACCCTTGCGCTACAGAATATCAAATATAAAAACCCAGACACTTTAAGCGTTTTGCACTCGTTGCATTTACAAAAAACGCGATAGACAATGCGCGTACGTAGCGGAGATCCACAGCGAAGTCGCCACCCACAAGGACGTGCCAACCCGAACCTAATGACGGCTCCAGTCGGCTCTGCAGCTCGGCTGCAAACTCCCGGATACTCGATGTCTTCTTGGCAGCATCATTCACCGCCTTCTTAGCAGCCACCTGGATGGCCACGGATGCCGCGGGGGCCTTGGAGACCTGGAAAACGGCTCCACTGAAGACCATCGAACGATCAGATCCGATCCTGCTTGACACGCCACGCACTTGATAAAAAATGACAAACAGTAGGGAAAATGAAAATATGCCTGAGCATGGGTTTTGCTGTTTGGCATAATACCAGTTTCTGCCTATCTAGGGGTTGTGGGGTGGCTGAGCAAGGTGTACCTTCGATATGGTACATGACAGAAGCCAACTGTCCATTTCATTCTTGCGTTTGCGGTCTCTCTCATTCTTCGACTTTCCAAGCTAGTTCCCCCAAGATGACAGTAGAATCTAAGTCAGCTTGCACCATGCTCACATATTGGTGCCTGCGAGGATACTGGATTCGAAAACAGATAATAATGATGCAGAGGTCGATTCTGCGGATATTAAGGAGCACCTCGAGAGTATTGCAAACTGCTTATTCGAGCAGATTCAGCGGATGTGTCAGATAGTAGTGTACAGGGGCTTAGAGCGATGCAGAGAGTGCTGCGAGTCAAGCTAAGCAGGAAGGAAGGGTGCAAACAGCAAGTGTCCTTGTTTGCCTACTTTGGACGTGCTGCACATTAGGGACTTTCCCATAGTTAAGCCTCTCAGAACAGTCATTTTTCGTAAATTTGTTTTGCATATTCCGAGGGAAGGGTGAGAGGAGTTTTATCTTAAGCTCGTAAACTCGGAAACCGATAACTTTTTGTTTTTGTCGGAGGGTATTCCATGAGCAGGAGTTACTACCCAAGTACTTCGCTAACGCAAAATGGGTACAGTCAACGTGTCCTCCGAAGGTCCAACATCCATTTGAATCGCTGCATGTTGCTCGAGAGCGTGTCTTCCGCGTGGCTCTGCCCACATTGGCATTTTGGCGCGAAACTCAAAGACAGGCCAGTTGGACAGGGTGGACCAATTCATTTATACCGCTCCCATCCAAGCCTTCAAATTAGTACTCCGCACGTTTCGGATTGGCTTTTACTTGTGTAGCGAACCTCTTCGCCCAAAATTGCGCCTCGCTTTTATAAGTGCCCTTTTCCACGTCAAAAGTTGCAGCAGAGACACATTCGAAATCCCGCCAAACCAACCCATCAATTTGCCAACCATGAAGCCCGAGTCGAAGCTGGTCGTTGTTGCTCTGGAAGGTTGCCACGGTTGCGGCAAGACTGCGCTGTGCGAGGAGTTTGAGGCGCAAGGCTATGATATCCTTGACGAGGCCTTCATGGACATGCCCGCTTACGCGCTACACCCACAGTCTCTTCTCATGGAGACGTCGTGGGTCTGTTCCTGGTTCGAGCGCGTGTTGCGCCTCGCGGACCGCGTAAAGCCTGGACGTAAACAGGTTTTCATCGCTGACCGCTCGCCCTTCAGTGCCGTGCTCTACTCAGCCAACGGTCACCTACTGGAGCCTGTTATCCGTGAGCAAATGCGGGAGGTGCAGGACTTTGCCGGAGTGCAGTTCTACACGGTGCACGTGCAGGTAGAGCGCGAACTACTGTGGCGTCGCATTTGCGCTCGATTGGAATTGGAGCCCGAGAGGCTGCGACTCAACGAGCATAAGCGCGAGTGGATGGAAGAGACACTTGCGTTCTATGAGTCTTTCGACTGGGACTTGACAGTTGCAAACGATGAGCGCAGTGTGGCAACAATTGCCAAAAACATCAGTCGCTTGCTGAGAGAGCGGGACGACACGTTTGAGGCTGTATACAAGTGCACCAAGCCTCGTGTGGCGTCTCCGCACTCTTCCTCGTACGGCAGCACTCTCAGTACGGACAGTGAGTGCGAAAGTGCCGAGGAAGAGCACACTATGCACGTGGACTCGGAGTGGAATGTCAAGGAGGTGAAAAGCATCATCTCATTTAACAACACGCCTCCTATGAAGGACTATTAATGTTATAGCAAGAGAAAGGGAGAGAATGCCTCTTAGTTTATCACGTAAAAGCGAACGTGGGGGTAGCCAACGCTCGAGTTAGGAAAATTTAACAGTTGCAAGTATCTATAACTGTTGCAAATGCTTCGTTTTACTAAAGGCGTAGGAAGCGACGTGCATTGGCTCGAGTTATCTTGGCAATCTCCTGTGGCGAGTGGCCAAGAGCAGTTGCCACGGCTTGTGCAACTAGTGGCATTGCACTAGGCACATTTGGGTACTGTTTTTTCGCTTCTGTTGCCTCAGCCCGTCGACATTTGGGAAATCCCATATACGGCGCATCTGTCTCCAATACAAGGCGATCCAGTGGGACATGTTTCACCATTTCTTTCAGTGCAACTCCTTGTTTCTTGCAAATAAACCCCGTAATGCCAATATACCAGTCGTCGCCACGTGCAATATACGCCTTCAGCTCATCCTCATTGCCAGTAAAACAATGCACCACTGCCGGAGGGAAATATCCTCCAGCTTTCTCTTTCGCTTCATCGATCAGATGGATAAAGTCTTGATGCGCCAGACGTTCGTGTAGGAACAGAGGCTTCTTCAACGCACAGGCCATCGTGAGCTGCTCGGCGAACCACTTTTTCTGGAACTCCGGCTCAGGAAAAGTAGGCAAGTAATCCAGACCACACTCCCCCACTGCTCGCACTTCCTCCATTTCTATAAGGCCTCGTAGGGTGTTGAGTTCCTCTTCGTTTGGCATTGCTCGTGCATTGTAGGGATGCACTCCAGCCGTCGGGAAGAGCTTGGTAGGGTGTAGTCTGCAGAGTTCGATGGCTTGTTGAGACTCCTCGATGGTGGCTCCAGGTACCAACATCTCCTTTACACCGACAGATGCGGCTTGTTGCATCAACGCAGCAACGTTACCACGAAGATGTTCATGTGTCAAGTTGCAGTCGAAGTCGAAAAGCTCCAAATTCACGTGGTTTGTCGCCTTCGACGTGGGTTTCTGAGCCATTTTTGCGGATTTTGGCGCTGATTTGTGGTGGTTCTTCCTATGATGCGACTTCTTGTGGTGGGGCTTCGCAGAGTGCGCTGTGGCGTCGTGCACGTAGTACCAAACGTTGGTGGACACTTCGTCGTGCTTGAACGGCATTATTTTGGCAAATGACAATCTTCCCCTTTTTAAGTGACAGCCTTCCCCTCCTTTAGTGACTCTGATAATATCTGATGCAACAACGAAAAGACGCAATTTTTCATGCAGGACGAAGACACAGACGATGTCCCTGGCTTCAGCAGCATGAGGTTTGGCAACTATTTCCCTCAAAAGCTTTTTGTTGCCTATTAGTTGCATAAATACTAAAATTTGCGCGTTGCGTATTAGAAACTCGTTGGGCTTGGAGGCTATCGAGGGCGTGGGATTTTTCGTTGACGACCCAAGACGTAAGTACAAATTGTATTGTGTATACTACCAACCTAATCATTCTTTTTCTTGCTCTCAGCAAGCCAGTGACCTCAAAAAGAGCATAGCAGAGCAAGTACAACTTGCCATGGAGGAAGAGAAGCAAGCAGAGACCATCAAGTCTCGAACCAAGTAAGTTACCTAAGTAAAACTACTGCCCTGAACTCAGACTTGCCTTGTCTTTAGGAAGCAACAGTACATTCTGTACGCTCGGCGATTCATCGCATTTGTCTTCTACGTGGCAATCCAGGCTGCTAGTTGGTACCTGATCATCTTACTGACAACGCAATCCTCCGAGATTCAACTGCAGATCGCTGATAAGGTAGCGATCTTCGCACCGTACACCAGTAGCCCGTGGTGACAGTCATCAATGCGATTCTCCCGAAGCTGATCTCGTTGTTGACGGCAATTGAAAAATGGGATGACGTGGGTTTTGCCATCAAAGCCATGGTGACGCGCTTGTATCTGGCCAAGATCTTGAATATGCTCATTCAGATGTTCTCGTTTGCTCTTTTATTGGACCCATTTCTGCTTACTTCGACCCAAAATATTCTGAATGTGATCGCTTTCGACGGATCTACCGTCCGCAATAATGTGATGTTGGGGTTCAAATCTGACGTTTATTCCTGCCGCGCTGAGCAGGCACTGGCAGGTCTGTTGACACTTGTGGTGACCGACTTCAGTGTCAGTAAAGTAATGGCGATTTCGGCACCTTGCGTTGGTGTTGTCGCTAAATTATTTAAAAGAATCTGGCGACGTCGACGCGAAAAACTGCGGCGGTCGAAGCCTAAAACTGGCTCCAAAGTTCTACCTGACAGCGATGGGATATCGGAGGTGGCAGAAGAGGAATCACTAGTACACAATGACACGGATATTTTACAAATATCTACTAAAGAAACTTCAACTTCTCAAGAGATTTCACCAATATCCGAGAGTTTGGTGACGAAAGCCGAGTTTCTTGTCCCGCTTAAGATGGTTGCATTGCTGTATTCGTGCACTATTGCATTGGTGGCTATTCCTCTAGCTCCAACAACAGCGTTACTTGCGCTTGTGCTGCACATTGCTAACTTCAAATTTGACAGGTTTATTCTAATGGTACGGATTGTGATATACTATCGTAGACTCGATATTCACTGATTATTGTAACTTATGATAGCATTTGCAGAAGAAGCCAGCAAATCCGTGGGGGGCTAAAGACGCCGACAGCTTCTTCATTAAGTTTTACTTCTGCACTGTACTCATTTTCCTCAGCTTCACCTGTCCAATACGCGACTTCCAAAGCAATGTGACATCCAAGATACCAGCGACGTTGCACTATGCATGCCAAACAGCTACGACGCCACTGAAAAGAACTGTACAGTCGACCCAACTCGCTCATCGGTACGATACACACTGTTGAATGTTGAGTATTTTTTTATCAAATTAACTGGCTTTTTTTCTTAAAATCAGAGTTCATACTTTTTAAACGGTCCGGCATGTTCAGCTGGTTATCCTCTCTGTGTCTGCAAACACGCTTGTGGACCATTTGTTGCAGTGGCGACAGGGTACACTCCTCTTTGGAGTAGCATTACATCTTCCGGTGTTGCATCAACGCTCTACTCGCTGGTACTTGGCAACAATTTCGTACCGTGGGCACTATTATTCATGTTTCTACTTGCCATCTTTTTCCTCCGGAACTCACTCACCGTTTACATCGTACGTACATGTACTAGCAATTTTTCTCTCTTAGCTAATTGTACTTTTCCTCAGATGGCAACATTGCAGCGCGAACAGAATGTTGCACTTACCTTTTCATCATTACGAAGAAAGATCAAGCAACTTGAAAACCGTTTGCGTCTTCAAAAAATGGGAGGAACTCAATTAAATGAAGCGGATAGAAACGAAAAACCTTGATTTATCAACTAAAAAAACACTTTTTTAAAACCTCAATATTTGAAATACTTCGTACAGCATTTGCTGGTTAGACCAATTTGAGCTAGTTAGATGAGTCTGATCCAGAGGACGACTCCTCCACTTCAAAGCAGGGCATCGAACGTAGATTCGCCAGGTCGTTGAAGGTAGTCATGCCCTTGAGGAAGTCGCTATTGGCGGTAAGCCAGTCGTCCTCCAGGATACCTTCCGTGAACGTACCATAGGTATCAGCAGGATTGTATTGGTAGGCACTTTCGGGGTTCAAAGACCACACGAAACCTCCAGCCCAGCCACTTTCCACGATCACTTCCATACTCAGATCTGTACAACGTTGCGTAGTGAGCTCCGGGTGCAGATCTTTCGAATAAAGACCACCGAATTCACCCAGTAGCAACGCAGACGAGTTGTCATCAGCCAAAAAGCCGAACATATCAGCCATTGTGGCTTTGATACGAGACTTGAGCGTAGCGTTATCGACCTCAACATAGTCGGAAATAGCACCATTGGCGCCTTGCGTACCGCCATCGTAGAAGTACGATTGAGGATAAACAGCAGGAGTATAGTAGTGTGGGGCATACACTACTTTGTTGTCCGTACTGAACGTCAGAGGGTAGTCAGCTGCATCCTGCAGACCACCACCATACCAGTCATAGTAGTCGTACTTAGTATCATCGATCGTGACTGTGTGGTCAGCGTTAATGCCTTCCACAAAGCCCATCCAGTTCGAACAACCGTCTAGCATTCGATCGGCGATCTTCTTGGCTCCAGCGTGGAAATCCGTGTCCGATCCGTCACCCCACGTAGCTTTGGAAGGTTCGTTCTTAACGTCAATGCCCATGATGTTCCAGTATGACTCACTGCAAAGATTCATCGTCAGTGTGTCGATGGCATCCAAGAAATCATCTTGAGAGATTTCGTCGCTATACCAGAGACTCCCACTATCTGTGGATGTCAGTGTGTGCATACTCAGCAACACACCGATTTTCCGGTAGGCCAGTACTTTGACAATACTCTTGAGTAATGACATGTAGTTTTTAACCGAGATCGCTCGGTTCTCGGCCGTATTGATCAGTGTCGTCTCTGGCACCGGATTGGTGAGGATCCAGTTGACACAGAGTGGCAAACGAACAGCATTGAACTTGTTGTCGGCCAAGAAAGACGCGATCTGGTACGCCGTCGTACCGTTGTCAGCGTTATCCCAGAGTCCCAGTGGGATTGCGGTGCCTGTTTCCATGCCAAACCAGTTGATACCTTTGATGTCCACTGGCACTTCAGTGCCATTGGCAGATACGGCAACAATCCGGCCATTTTTACTCTGGTAATCTGGGAGTTCGCAGCCCATTTCTGGGTACAATTTGGGGTTACCCACTTCTCCGTCATCAGACACCAAGTCGCTGCCACTGCCACTTGCCCCACCTGAAATTTTCTCACCGTCAGCTTTTCGCTGTGCGTATTCCTCTTGACGTGTCGTGGCGGAATCGCTGGCGTGAAGTGCAGACAAAGTAATACCCACCACAGCGCCGCCAACGATTAAAATTAGCAATAGAATACCAGGCCACGTCTGATATAAAAAAACGACAATTTGCAAAACGGTTAATGGAAACTGTGATGAAAAAGTGAAAAACAGCCGTACCCTGTAGCGACCTTTGTATTGTTGCGTCTTTTCGATGAAACCTGTTGCAGGTTCACTTACGGCTGCGATGTTGCGGTCCATCAGCGAACCGCGCGTGAAGACACTGCCAGACGCTGTGACGGGCGCAATCCCGTTACCGGATCCGCTGCTGGAGTGACGCGGAGAGCCTGCGTTCATGGTGCTGAAGCGGTTGTTGTCGTGTGTACCATAGCCACTCACAGCACCGTAGGTTTGCGCATCGGAGGGTTCGCGAAAGACCTCGCGCGCTGACTGTTGTGGGATGTAGTCGTGCTCTGGAATGTCACTTGAGTCCTCACGGCTCAGCATGGCGGAGTAATTGTAAGTGGGTGAGCCCAACATTTCGGAAGATGTGATGAGCGACGCAGACGACTCCATGCCGTATTCGCGTTCTAGTTCTCGACGCATTTTTGACGCAAAGGCAACTGCGCTGGCTTGTGGCAAAAGCAAAGTGGGCGGAAGAAGGTGGCGAAAGGAAATGCATCGTGCCAACCGTATCCTGTCCAGTATAGTACTATCAGGTGCTGCAAAAAAAATAGGTACCTGAGACAGGGCATCCCCGGTTTTAAAGACCGTTTTGTTTTGCCAATCAAGGTAGATCCTTGTAAAATACAAAAGATGTCACTATCGTTTTGGAACTCTGGTTGTTGAAGTCAGTATTGGTGAAGGTAGTGTGAAATCGAAAATCAAGGGAGTTCAATAGGAGCTGGTGAGTTCTGTCACCATGGGCAGGAATTTCCATGTTCATGTTCATAAGAGCGCTATAATGATCTCGAGTGCGCGCGGCACATTATGATCGCAGTGATATCTCACGCCTTGATACGGGCGCTTTCTGTGACTGTCCAACAGTGCCATATGTCGTTTCATCTCACAATGTGGGTCACATCATGTGACTCACAGCTGAAGTGGCCAGGTCATGGGCAAATTCGACTGAATTTGGAAGTCGCTAAATCAATTTCTCTGTCCATACCCTACCCTTGATAGGGGATGGATCCGAGTCAGCTAGACTGGCGAAAAATGAAGCCAAGTCGCGAATCCGTTAAGAAAACGCGAAAGATTTAAGAACTTAGATAGATTTCTATTATCTAAAGACGCTGCCATCGTTTTGGAGGCTTTTTGCTAGGATTCGAGGCGCCAGGAACGCTTGGAATTTAGCACTTGCCTCGGAATCAAACAGCATGAAGACGCGCAACTTCATGAGCATCTTTTCAAGGCACACGTATCATGTGCCCTGATTGGCTGAGAGTTTTGACGCTGCGCTTATCTGAAGTTTTGCTGTAACGAGTCCTGGATTTTTAGCAAAGCTTAACCAACTATTTTAGTAAAATAAATGTTTATAAACCTGGATCGAACACCTATACATGTATATGTCTACCACCCCGCAAAAAAACTCATCGTTTAGTGTCAAAGCAAAATATAAAGGTATCGATGCTGTTGGTCAACTTGTCAAGCTTAAGCTACAGTGGAGTAGCAACATCTAGTCGGATCCAGACGACCTCGAGTCCAAAGCTTCCTCTTCGAAGCACTGTAGTGTACGACAGGCCGTACTAGAGTTCACTTTGAAATTAGACAAGCCACTAACACAGCTTTGGTCTGTCGGGAAGCGCCAGCGTCCCTAATACGAAGTGGAATTCAGTAGTAATCCCTAGACCCACTACACCTGAAACACTTGCGTAAGATGCTGCTATGGCTCGTCCCATGCTTCTACCTGCTGCCCAGAAGTAGTAGTATCTGTACCATCGCGTCTTGTTGCCAGCTTGGTAAATGTCCACAGCCTTGCCCATTGCGGGAAATCGAATAAAATACAATATATAGCGTTTAAGAGGTTGTCGAAAAAATAAAAATTCAGAAGTTCGAAATATCCGTAATTTACTAAAACAATCCAAGAATTCCAAAGAGGAAATACGCCCATCTGGTGGCGATCATTGTCGGGTGAGCGTATGAATCTTCCTCTCAAAAAGTGAATCATCTCTGGCAGCTGCAAATTGCTAGAGTAGCACCGGAATGTCTTTTGCTAGTAATTTTGCAGAGTCCCACGAGTCCTCAATCGCTCCAACTCCTTCCAGCAAGCCAAGATGTCATAATCCTTTTTACGTTTGCTCCATACATAGTCAAGCAGTTGCCCTTACCGCCAGGATCTTCCCCTGAGCTGCAACATGCTTCCGAATTTCCGCCGTGATCTGCAACGAGCTGTCCGCATAGAGCTTCAATCTCGATGAATGGACGTCTGTTTCTGCTCCTGTTACGAGGTGACGGACCCAGAACGAGTGCGTGTCAGCTCTCGTGACTTGGCAGGGTGCGATCCATGTCACAAGAAGCCTATCTTGATGTTTACTATTCACATGTGATCGGGGAATGTAAGTTCCAACATCAAAATTCAGTCGTTGTCCATGCTGGGGACGCTTTCTGTTACGCTCAGTCTGCTGGTCACGCGCCGTGATCATCGGTTCATGCATATCACGTACGCTGGCTTTCATTACAGCTAGCCAGCGTTCGATGTTGGCTCGGCTGTTCTGGTAGCTCCAGAAATTTCCGTTGTTTTGGGTCTACACAGAAACTCAGCGGCGATGCAATTGGTAGTCCACAGAACAACCCTTCAGGTGCCTCGTTGCCAAGCGATGGAACCGGCGTAAGACTTAATTTTCCTTGTAAAATGGGTACGCAAAAGGTCCAGTCATGTGTATCCACTTCATATTCCAAACACATTACTCGTAGCACTTGTATGACGTCGCGGTCTGCACGCTCAGCGCTGCCATTTATCCACGGACAGTAGGCAACAGTAAATTCTTGCTTTGATATGAGGCGACGGCATATCTCTGCTACCACAGCGCTCTTAAGGTGCGCCCCCTAATCGCTAATCCAGAGCGGCGGGATGCCGTATCTGCTATTCCATGCGAGAATAGCGTCGACTGCTACCTCGCTGGTCGGTATCACACATGGGGTCAGCTCACAGAAATGGGTCGTTTCGTCCTTAAGTATAAATAGGTAGCGATCGCCCGCAAAACTATCGCCAAGAGATAAAAACAAATCCCAGTGGGGAGCTCCATTTCGTTCATTTGTACGGTAAATCTCTCCCCATGGCCGTTGGATCACCTTACTACCTTTTATATGGTGACATAGTAAGCATCATGAAAAAAAGGTCTCCACCTGCGCTCAGGCGGACCAAGTAGACGAATCTTCGTATCGCTTCAATAGTAGCCTCACTGTCCCTGTTTCCTTTTAGCCGCAATCTGCCACCACCAATATACGCTTTGTCTGATTAGCGTCTGTCTCAGGGATCCACAGCTTTCCATTTGCATACCATCCTTGCTTGTCATCTCCTATTGCCTCCCGTGGACGTGTTGAGCCTGAGACTTGAGGAATGCTTCTCGGTTATTTCAAATCTGGGTCGTTCATGGGGTGTATCGGTAGCTGCGAGGATGTGGTGGTGACGTTTCGGTCACCTGGTCCCATGTGGCTACTCTTTCCGCGTTTCCGCTTACGTCATGTAGTCCCTGAGTACGTAGGAGCTTCTGGGTGTCTTGGTCGGAGTGTCATCTGTCGTAGGTGGACATCCTTAGTGTAGTTTCCGGCCACCGAGACACTATGTCGCTCCAAACGTTCGATGTTCCCTCAATGTGCTCGATCACGTACTTGTACTCCATGATTTTCGTGGCTCACCTGGGCAGTTGGCCTCCAATATGTTTTTTTACTCCCGCACCCGGAGCAAAAATGCAGAACAAGTTTCGATGTTCGCAGTACAACTGGAAACTATGGCACCTCATCAGCAAGTAGCTATTTTTATCACACGCGCACACAATTGGATATGGTTCCTTTTCTATGATACTCCACCGACACTTTGATCGAGTAAACGTTCCGCTCAAATAGATCAACTATTGGTGCTGTTGTTGATGCACTGGATCATTAGCCTTCCAGATAAGAGCTTAAGTCTTCACAAGACGCCAGCCTATGTTACTAGCGTCTGTCAAAACTCACATTGTTGCATGTTCCACAGGGAAAACCAACTTGACGCTGTTCGCTAATAATCGCTTCATCCCGTCAAAAGTTAGTCGTTCGTCATCGGTCAGACTGGTGGATATCCCTGAAGCAACATGTTTCGTCAGTCTGGCTGTTTTCGCCAGAGCGTTATCCAACGCATCCTGCATCTGGCATAGTATATTAAACTGTCTCTCATCCGATTTGTCGAGCACAAAAATATCTGCAGTTCCCCTGCAGTAGTTGGGTACGGCAGCTCCTGAAGGAGTGCGGAGGCGCTCCGAATCATGTCGACTTTCAGAACCTGTAATAATCCTCCCACACCAACGTACTTCACTTTTGTACAAGCAAGATTTTTTCACGCTCACCTTAAACCAAAGAAATCGAGCAGTTCGAACTCCCTCTCCATTTTCTCCCGGTATGTATGCACGTTTTTTTGCAAATAACAATAAGTCACTTATCCAAATGAGTAAATGGTGATGCAACAGCTCTTCTAGGCACTTGTGGATCGTGGCCTGGAAAAACAAAGCTGCAGCCACTCTCCGTATAATGTACACCTTGTTGTGTGTTATACACGAGAGCATCTCCTTACATGCTTCAGTCAGTGCCAATTGCCAGTAGCCCTCCATGAAGTCAAACAGCCTGAAGAAAACTGCTCCTTCAATATCACTGAAATCGGTACTCAAGTCGGGCATCACACCAACAATCGCCTCAACCAACGCGTTCACCGGTTTATAACCGGCTGTCTGGCGAAATTCTCCCGCTCCTTTCCTCACCGACCGTGCTGGACACGCCCAACGAGTTGCCTGATTCTCGTATACCCAGCCTAATTCGATAAGCTTGGAGTTAAAGTCATCCACGAAGCGTCGTATCTCTGGCGAGCCTTGCATCTGCACGGTCGAGCACCCGTCTTGAGTCGAGCATGCATTGGTGGTACCTTAGCAGATGAGTCTGATCCCAATTGCAACCTCCATATATCAAACTTGCTTGCAATGCGACACAATTCCTTCTTATACTCGCATGAAAAACCATTTGCAATCGTTTTCTCCATTGATCTCTCACACTCGCTCGTACATCATCATCTTTTAAGCCGTCGATACCAATAGTTGGTTCGTCGGCATCGTCAAATTCATCTCCGTCCGTATCAGCCGCGAAAGGCACTGCTAGCATGTCAATTTGCCGCTTAACGTCAATTCCTAAGAAGAGCAACAGGTCGTTACCCAACAAGAGCTCACCTGAGTCGCCAGGAATGGTTGAGCACTCGACTGGCTCAGCAATATTAACAATTTCAGCAATTACTCGCAGCTTCAAATTCAGTTTCGCAGTCCAATTCACGATAATTGCAGTACCATTAGTTATGGTGCACCCCACAGGTTCCTCTGACTTATAACGCACAGCTTCAGGCTTCGCCCTTTTCAGCGGATCAAATGCATGCTCATCTAAACAGCAGTAGTCCGCCCCACTGTCTATACAAAGTGGGATCCTTACTTTATTATCCAGTACAACAACATTACCTTTCTTAGGGAAACACGCTTGGACTCGGTTTATTTTAGTGACTTTTTTTTGGTAGCTGTGTTCTAGGTTGTTGATGATTTTCTCTCTGTGAGTAGCTTATCGCGCTCTGATAATGTCGCGGTTGGACATTTGGACAGGTAGTGGGATCCGTCACAATGAAAACAACCTTGTTTAGGCACCCCCTTCATGGCTAAACAAGTGGATTTACCAGTCTAAGACTGCCCACATTTGCTGTCGGACTGCTTTGGCTTCTTCACCGATCTGCGATCCTTGTGCTCGGTTTGGCGTTTCTTCTGGTTCGAATCATGGCTGCGTTTTGAGCTGCTGCCAACACTCTTCACGGCACGTTCTGCAATCGATTGCTACCTGGCTTTGTCGCTCACCAAGCTATATAGCTTCTTGATGACCGTCTTTGCCTCAGGAAAACGATAGTCGAGCTCAATTCGCACCTTATTCTTCAATCCGTTTGGAAGAGAGCTAATGAGCAGCTTATATTTTTTTCTTTTGGCCCTTCTCAGACTCGAAGAAACTAGTAAAACCATTTTTTTACAACACGCTGCATTGATGAAAGTAGTAAGTCACTCTCGGATCGATGTTCATGTTTTTCATGTCCATGTGAAGCTCGTCGCGAAAATGTTCTTTCACAGGAGGGAGCACCTGATTCTGGAAACAGTCAGTGATCTCACGAATCCTCTCCAGCAGAAAACCGTCCGCCACGTTCTTCTTTTTTACCCCCAAGAGTGTCGAGCAAGTATTCATCAAAAGAGCTGTTCCCACTCCTCATCACAGCAGTCACGTCATCTTTGATGTCCTTGTAACGCTCCTTTACGTGACCTTCATTCGCCTTTCGCAGTTTAATCCGCTCTACTAGCGCCTCACGGGCGATGGATGCCACCTTAGGAGCATTTACGACCGAAAAAAACGGCTGCGGTACACGCACTTGCTCTGGCAAGAAGGCTTCATCTGCCTCTGTCGTCATGTCGGTCTGCTGCTTGCGTCCTCCGGAGCTAGCTACCTATCGACGGCCCTCTTCGCCATCGCTTCCAGTAATCGTAGGCGCTGGCACCTACTTTTAGTCGGTTCGTTTTCTCCAATCAGTCGGTTAGTTGCTGAACTCGCAACTAAAGATATCTTTATCGGGGGTCAAGGAACACTATTAGGGAAGCTGGCGCTTCCTGACAAACCAACGCTCTATTAGTGGTTTGTCTGATCTCAATGCAAGCTCTAGTACGGCCTGTCGTACGCTAAAGCTATGGCTAGTCTCATATTTCTACCTGCTGCCCAGTCTCATACTAAAGCAGTATCTATCATTGGTATCTGTACCATCGCGACTTGTTACCAGCTTGGTAATGTCTGCCTGTCGACATTCCCCAGTGCATGGGCTAGGCTTGATCCAGTAAAGCCATCCATCACTGCACCAGGTCGTTCATAGCCGCTAGCCCCCCCCCCCCGGAAACTCGCTGTTAGCTGTCAGCAAGTCGTCTTTTATAATATCTTCCGTGAATGTACCGTATGTGTCGGCGGGGTTATACGTGTACGTACTTTCCGGGTTCAAAGACCACACAAAGCCGCCAGCCCAACCGTTCTCCACTATAATGTCAATAGAATAGTCCGTGCAGCGCTTCGTTGTAAGCTCAAAATGCAGATCCGTGGCATACAGACCGCAAAACGCACCTAGCAGCAGCGCGGTAGACGTGTTATCCACGATAAAGCCAAACACATTGTCCATAGTTGCTGAAATATGGTTTGCTAACATGGAGTTTGACTGATCCACGTACTCATCGAGTGCACCGTTGTCAGCCACCGTACAAATATGTCTGCGGGTAAACGATAGGAGTGTAGTAATGCGGTGCGTACACCACTTTTTTGTCTGTTGTGAACGTCACCGGATACTCGTTAATCTTCTGCAAGCCACTGCAATACCAATCGTAGAAAGTGTACTCGGTTTCATCAATTGACAGCTTGTGAGAAGCGTAGATTCCCTCAACGAAGACCGTCCAGTTTCAACAGCCCTTAAGCATCCGGTTTCCAGTGTCTGTGCACCTTCACGAAAATCTGAGCTCTTGCAATTCATCCACGTGCCTTTATACCGTTCGTTCTTGAGATCGAGACCGATGACATTCCAGAATGTCTTACTGCAAATATCTTCGGTCTGCGTGATGCTTTCACTATACCAAAGTCCGCCGTTATCCGTCGTCGTAAGAGTATGTAAGCTGAGTAGCACTCCAATCTGGCGGCATGCCAGTACACTTGTAAGCAGTGACATGTAGTTTTTGGTAGAGATCGCACGGTCCTCAGCTGTGCTGATCAGTGAAGACTCAGGCACCTGATGTTGAGGATCCAGCTGCTACAAAGTGGCAAACGCGCAGCTTTATCTTTTTTAAACTTGTTTTCCCAGGAAATATGCGATCTGGTAGGCATCCATGCCATTTTTAGAGTGATCCCAAAGACCAAGTGGGATAGTTGTACATGTCTCCATGCCGAACCAGTTAATACCCTTGATATCATCCGCCATTTCCATTTTATTGGATGCAACAGCGTAGATGTGCCCATCCTTGCTCTGCTAATCCGGTAGTTGACATCCCACATCTGGATACGACTTCGGATGTCAACTTCCCCATCGTCCGAAATCAGATCACTACCACTGCCACTCACACCACCAGTAATCGCTGAAGTGTCAGCTTTCCGCTTGGCATAAGCTTTTTATTGAGCTGTACTTAATGTATGTGTGTGCATCGCTGCAAATACTATGGCAATTAAACCACCAATGATAATTGCCAATAGAAGCATAATTCCTGGCCATCTCAGTCGGCTCTCCACAGTTTGAAACCGCTCATAGCAAACACCGAATTGGGCAATGTTAACTAAAAACATACCCGACATCGACCGTTGTACTGCTGTGTCTTAGCAGCGAAACCTGCGTTTGTTGGGTCATTCACTGCCTCAATGTTACGCTCCATCATTGACGGACGAGGGAGCGCGGCGGGAGGAGCAGCGAAATTTCTAGCTTCTCTACTTGATCCACTTGTGCTGCCGCTGTTTCCGGCCGGAAGTTTTTCAACTGAGTGAGCTCTTCTCTAAATCTGTGGGGTGGGATCTGTAGAAGCCCCCTCTGTGGCTGATGGTCTATGGATGATCCTCTGATGGCCCACGGAAGACCTCATGAGCTGTGGATTGAGGGATAAAGTCCTGGTCTGGAGTATCTTCGCGACTTAGCATTACGTTATACTGTGCCTTTCTCCCAAAATGCTCTTCGATTTAGGAGCGGATGGCCTACGTAGGGCCTCATTAAATACATCCTGGTGCCAGTAAAGCTTAGGCACTAGCATAAAATAGGAAGCACTCCAAAGTACATAGCTTTTGAGTGAGACACAACGCTCTCTTCTAGCCTAGAAATTATTGCTTTATGGTATGATACTACGACTTAAGGAAGCTCCTACATGCCTGCGATTAATTGCTTTTGTTGTTTTATGCAGCTAATATCAGGGCGAGCTCTGAATCAAGTCATTTGATCTCTGCATACCTGTATCACTGGCTCTATCCATATCAGTCAGGCCCTTAAGAGGACCTACGAAGGGGGAAATGGCCGGCGAAAATTGGCCATTCGGACTTTGCTAGAGCCTAAAAGCTAAAGGAACGAAACGAACTTAAAAACAAAAAAAAGGTTGCGGAGCATAGATTCGTACCCACTTTGGCATAAGCTCGGCAGACGAAACGAGAACTAGGCACTGGCAGTGCCGCATTGCCCCCCTCCTCTCTTGGACATGGCCGCATCTAGTTTGGGCGACAGCGAATCTCCCTCCCTCAACGGACATGTTTGAAGGCAAAAATGAAGAGGATGGAGCGGCGACCCAAGAGGATGTCGAAAAAAGCGTAGAAGCGGACGAAGAAGAGGAAGGCCTCGCTCTACCATCTACGCTGTCCGTAGCGCATGGATTCCAGTTCAATGCAGAGGCCGAAAGGGTTCTACTGGCAGAAGTCCTGTCTTCTCCTCCTTATGAAACAGAGCGTGGGGCGGTACCATCACGATTATAAATTGCTTGGCTATATCTAGAGCTGATCAAATCCAAATTACCAGCTAACGTCCTGGTGCACAGAACATCAATGTAGCGAATAACGACTTTAAATATACTACTAACGATACTAGGACAGCGCCCGTAGACCATCGACAAGTCGAGCCATCGATTTGGACATCTCAAACGGTGAAGCGCTGTACACAATCCTTTGAGCCCCGTACAGTTTGCCCAGAAGTGTACTCCGGTATGAATGGCACATGGTAGACGGAAATCCCTTAAGCGTTTGTGAAGTTGGCTGTGGGTGAAGCGGTAAAACACAGAGTATGTGTCATCTGTCACGCACGAGATATCAAAGCGCACTTGGGGGATAGAGTACTGAGGTCTAGCTTCGTAGTACAGCACAAGAGCACGATTGCAGAGATGAGAGGTCTCCTTCCAGTCACCATGCAGGCGCTTGATGCGAGACCGGTCGATTACCTCAGACGCCAACGGTCTGTATGCAAGCACGCCATCGTCGCTGCCGCTCTCCGACCCCATCGATGTGCGGTGAAAAAATCTGTGGCTATGAAGCACTCTGATTTCGTTTCGTTCTTGACGCTTAGCTACGTAGTGTATGGCTCTGAATCTAAGGACGAAACGAGAAGCGGTTCAAATTTATCCGAAATAATCAGAATAAGATCAGAAATTCGTTTCGTTTTAAGCTGCTTAAGCGCTTTATTATCTTCGACGGCCCTTACACGTGTACGTAAAATTGGAGGCCTTGCGTAGGATTTGTGGCTACTAAAGATTGAATTTAATCAACATTACATTAAATTTTAAGGTAAAGCCCTACCATCTATTTCTTTGGACCAACCTTTTGAGATCCTACGGGCCAAAGTTTGAGAAAGCACAATAGTTTTGAGATAGTCACTCCAATTGGAGTCCACCAGCCCGCTGTTATTGTATGCTGTGGAAACTTGGCTAAGGTTGTTCACGTGAGCTTGCGTGCTCTCGATGAGGGGAATTCGAGAGTGAATTGCTACAAAGTAGCCCAAGCTTTGTGCCGGGCGCCCATGGTGACCGCCGATCACCACAGTCTAGAGGTCTCTAATACAGGCTGTATGGAGGTCCGCTGTCATACGCACTACTTGTTGTGAGGTAACTTACAAAAATCAGCATAATATTCGCAGACCGTACTGTGTGTTAAATCAACACTGTTGATCGGCAGTATCGATTCCTGGACCAGGAATCCTGGTGTACGAGCGAGTCGTTTTGATCACAAGAATGGCACCGTCAAGCTACTCGAATATCCAGGAGACAATTGCTCAGCACCTTGAAAGAGTCCGCATCAAGAGTCAGCGAGTCACACTGAGGACCGACAGTCTGCCGGCGACAGGAGCTTGCCACCGTGGCCTCCGAAATTATAGGTGTGATAAAATTGCCCCTTTTCAATGAAATCAATAATTGTAGGGCGAAATATGATTTAAAAATCGGCAAATCTACAGCCCATGATTTCTACACTATGATTTATACATGATTTGGCCCATGGCTGACCATGTTTGTAATTTAAAATATTTTCCCGTTTTAAAATACAGGCGGGAAAGCCAGTCATTTGTCTGACACCGCGTCATGAGAAGGCGAACCGCTCGCCACTGCTGCCCCGCGCGTCCTGGCAAGACCCCGAGACCCCCGCCAACCGACAGCTGCCTCTCTGCCCCCCCCCACCACCACCACCACGTCTGCCCGCAGGTATGCAGAATCTCTTATGCTCCATCATCTTCATCGACGCGTACAGGACGCAAACTAACTCTTCCTGCTGCTGATCATGTTGTGTTGGACTGTAGAGGCGTCTCATCCGCCCCAGAACCTGATATCGGGCCCCTAATTGTCTCTGTGTTCGCTTTAAAGGCTCCGAAGTAGAGAAACCTCGAAGAGGTGCGAATATGTTTGTTGATTGGATATGGATGCAGCTTTTGCTGATGAAATGCCTGCAGCTCGCCCAGAATCGCTGACACGCGCAATACACCACCGTGAAGCAGTTGAGAAGCACGACCAGAGCTCTCTACGAAACGGTATGGCACATCTAATACGATGTTACCATGCGATGCATGTTCGACAACTTACCCTTTAACTAACTCTTTGTGTACTACTGTCACTTAGTAACCACTGCATTACTGTCACTTGGTACTCGCTGGAGTTTCTGTTCTGGTAAGTTTGATCCATGACCTTCGTGGCGATGATAGATAGTCAGGCTAAAGAAACCCTCCATGTTTGTTCCATGTTTCTCCCATGTATTGATGTTACACAGCATCATGGTTCGGACGAAGAATACCGCCAGCATCTTATGAGCCGTGGACATGGAAGTATCGCCAAGTAGCAGTAGCGATGCGGACAATCTGCTCGATGACACTGAGCTGCAAGTCTCTTCTGGGAGTATGATGATGACTGAGGCTGTGCTTGATGGCGTACCAAATGCTCAAAACACCGGTGATATTGCGGGGGCAACCCGAGCCGTTGGTGATGATAAGACTGACAACAATGTAAAGGCCAATAGCGACGTGAATAGCGACGCTGCTGACAGTGGCGATCTTCTATCCAGCGACAATGATGATAGTAGTGAGCCAGATCCGGAAAAAAGGAGGGCAGCGAAACTACTTCGTCTACGTCTCGCAGCAGCCGAAAGCGTGCGATCACCGATTGTGACGAAGAGTTGTATTATGTGCCTGCCCTACAGAAGTATTAAAAGACATGGAAAAGTATGGATCGGTACCTGAAAACGTATCAGCGGGATACTTTGACGATGATAGCAATCTCTGAGACTCAGAATGTCAGACTACGCAACCAACGATGAACACATACACATTGCGCGTTTCACTATACTATACTAAGTAGTTCTGGATCATGCAAGATAATAGGGGGGAACTGACCGACACCCCAGCTAATCTCTCACTCGTCAAATTATATATCGTCCTGGAAACATGATTTAACCATGGTTATTAAATGCAAATACATGGACATCATTATGACACGTGGTAGTATTGCTCATGCAGTATGAGGGTCCGACAGGCGAAAATCGCGTTCAGTCTTCAATTATCGGGGAGTGGTGCGAACATGTTTTGGCCGTGACCCAACATGGGGAATACATGCTCAAAATAAATACCTGACTCCGTAATATATTTCGGGGGAATCATGGAGAAATCATAGTAACCATGGGCAAAATCCATGATTACTGTCCCCTAGCACTAATGAAAAACATGGGCTGTAGCACTGGGCTTTAAAAAAAACGCTACATGTAATACTGCGCTTACAGACAACGACGGTGAAACTAACCCCGACACAAAAACTCGACCCCCCCCCCAAGTGCAAATTTGGACTCAAGTAAAAAAAAAGGGGGCTGCTTTAATTTAAACGCAGGTGATACCGCGCAAGGGGTCGAGTTTTTTTGTCTTGTTGGCCTTTTTCATTTTGTATTGAAAATAAATATCTACGGGGGATTGACTTTCACCGTCCTTGTCTGTAGTACAATTAGACATTATTTCTAACTGCGGACTTTACTATTCTAACAAATCGATCTAAAGGAGCAAAATCATAGCGCTATTATAATAAGAACTCAGCTTATTAAGGGGCGAAGCTGGTGTCATTGGTCCAACAAGCCCTTGAGCAAATAACTAGAGAACATTAGTTTCTGAAATAGCTCAGGCTTTGGAATAAGAATTTTTCTTCGTCCAGAAATATATTCCAATGGAATAGCGAAGGGTCGCGTTATTCCACTGGAATAAATTATTTGAATATCGATCGGTAATCTATCCGTCATTTATTCAGATTTTATCCCGATAATCGCTATTCCAAGCCTTGCATTATTCCAGAAATTAAAGTTCTCTACTAGCCGGTGCTCGTCGTGACTTATTGTTATTTTTCAAAATATAAATATTTAAACAAATATTGCCATCCCAACAATAATATATGGA